TCCCGGTCCCCTGGGAGGAGCTCAGAGTAGAACCGCTGCTCCTCCACACTGAGAGGAGCCAGCTGAGGTGGCTCGAGCATCTGTTTTGGATGCCTCCTGGGCGCCTTCCTAGGGAGGTGTTCCGGGCATGTCCCACCGGGAGGAGGCCCCGAGGAAGACCCAGGACACGCTGGAGGGACTATGTCTCTCGGCCGGCCTGGGAACGCCTCGGCATTACCCCGGAGGAGCTGGAGAAAGTGTCTGGAGAGAGGGAAGTCTGGGCATCTTTGCTTAGACTGCTGCCCCCGCGACCCGGTCCCGGATAAGCGGAAAATGGATGGAAGTTTGCTCAGGGCCATTGACTTGAATACAATTTGGATAGTTCATCTATTGCACTGTTGCTTGTTAAACCACATCCCGGTTTATTATCAGCCCAGTTTATTATAATCACTAACTCAAGCCGGGAATGGTTTATTAATGAGGCTGTAATGAAGGTTCTGAATACTGACACCACATTTCCTCTCCCTTTTTATCTGTAATCACTGAACTCTATCTGCAAATATAAACCCAACAGCAATTACAACTGTTGGTGCCTCACTTCATACCACACAAGGTGGAGCTCTCAGATTATCAAATTCATTAAATAACCAGTTAGATTTATTGAAAATTTAAAAATCATGTTTGCACATGTGTGGCTGTGTGTTCATATGTAAGTCAGACAACTTTGGTATGGAAGCAAGTTTTTACAAGAATTCAAAAAGAAAATTAATGCACCATAAAAGACATGATAGGTGGAAATGAAAGTAAACAACCTATAGCATGAATCAGTCAACAGTATGGAGAAGGAAGCATCAATGGCTACGTACACTTCCTACAATGCAACTGACAGCACCTTCTGTTAGATCCTCCCTGATTCCTACATTATACAAACTGCATGGGGAGTAAATTATTTTGATGTGAAAAACCAGTGGAGTGTCCCATTAATCTAAATATATACAACTAACTAGTCATAAGTAGTGACTAGTCATAAATCAAAATCATTTGGCAATCGGGCGAGGGCGGGGTACACCCTGGACAGGTCGCCAGTCCATCGCAGGGAGGCAAATCATCACTAATGGCCAAACATGTATGAACATAGAAGGAATTTGACTCCAGTGTAGAGGCTCTTGTCGTGTTTTTAGGCAAGAGGAAATAGAAAATAACAATCAAGGTCAAGACTCAAGATTTTTATTTGCCATTTATGCATAAACAGACAGTCTAGGCATATAGGAGTTCTTGTGCAGCTCTCTTGGAGTCAGGTAAGGAGTTAAACGCCAGAAAAGAACTAGTCTGAAAATAAAGTTACGTAAAAGTGACATAGTATAAAAACGCATTCAAGATAAAAACGCAATACAAAAAATAAGTTAATAGATAATCAAAATAAGAAATAAGTAATGTTGTGCAGACATTCCTCTCTCATGGCTTATGAGTATTAAACATGTCAAGTCATGTTGTCTAAATAAAGGCCTGTTAAACAGAGATACCTCAGTCTGTTTTTCCATTCATACAAATTGTTAAATGTTGTTGGATACTGAGTTTTCTTTACAAGAATAGAACTTAAATCTTAGACTACTAAAATTTATTTGAAAAAAATTACTTTAATTTCAGCCAAGTTTAAGTCAATGCGTGTTGCCTAATGAAGTTCTTTGCCAGTAAAAGGTAGGCCACAGCGCCCTCCAGTGACAGTGCTGTCAAACCACACACATTATGAAAACATACCTTGGAACAGCTGACCAAACAAAATCTTAAATTATTATACCTTTGTTAAAGAATAGACACATTTAGAGAGTGAAAAAATGTCATCTATCATTAGATCTGCTAAATTGTGACTGCCTCATTGTCACTGGTGGAAGAAATACTCAGATCCCTTACTTAAGCAAAAGTAGCAACACCACAGTGTAAAAACTCCATTACAAGTAAAAATACTGCATTCATAATGTTTCTTTTTTTGGCAGTGGCAGATTTTAAGTGGCTAGTGGCAAAAAATGGCTTCTTACAAAAACATCTCTAAAATGTCAAATTCACATTATTCTGTTGTGTTCTGTCTACTAACTTCCGAGTATTTGAAAAGTTTCTCTTTTAAATATGATTGATATATTCTTCTACCTGAATTGTTGTTTAAAGATGTAGCGTGTTTCCCCATAATACCTGAACCAGAACCTAACCCTTACTCATCGAGCCGGATGCTACGGAAAACAGTCTTAACCTGAACGCAACACGGATAAATGACGTGTAACTGGCTCTTGGTCACTTGTGATCGGTCGTTGTCATGGAGCTGTAAACAATCAAACCCGCGCAAGTCGGTGGAGTATCTTCCTACTTTTTTACTCCGTTTTATATTGAAAGTTGACCTGTTCCGTATCAGAGTTGATACAGAACAATGTCGGATGTAGGATCTGATGAGTTTGACGAGGAACACAATAAACTGGGGGTGAGAGAATGTAAATATTTTGTTAGCTAACGTTAGATATTACTTTCAGTATATTGGTATAACATTAGCTAGCTGGGGAAAGCTAACGTTTGCATTGGCAATCAACAGATAACATTTTGTGTGTGTGTGTGTGTGTGTGTGTGTGTGTGTGTGTGTGTGTGTGTGTGTGTGTGTGTGTGTGTGTGCGGCGGGGCTACTATGTCTCTTGGCTGGCCTGGGAACACCTTGGCATTCCCCCCGAGGAGCTGGAGGAAGTGTCTGGAGAGAGGGAAGTCTGGGCATCTTTACTTAGACTGCTGCCCCCGAGACCCGGTTCCGGATAAGCGGAGGAAGATGGATGGATGGATGGATGGATGGATGGATGGATGGATGGATGGATGGATGGATGGATGGGTGTGTGTGTGTTTGTAGACCTAACAAGTTTGCGAACTGTCAACAAGTTGTGGCTGTCTTTTATTTCTTTGACTGGCATAGGAATATGGAGGTGACAGAAATGAAGCAGGAGAAAGGCACGGTTTTGGTAAAGCTGTTCTGCCTAATGGAGACACTTACCAGGGACAGTATGAGAATGGCAAAAGGCATGGACAGGTATGATATTAATGGTGTCCAGATCAAATCTACCATGAACCCTGTTCCAGTTCAAGTCTAGCCTTGGTCCAAGTGGGGCTGAGTGGATAGAGACCACAGCAAGCCGAGCATACACATTCAAGCTTCTTCAGTAAATAAACTTGGATATCATTGTAGACTTTGCATAAGTACAATGAGGCCAATGTACTTTGAATTGAAGCAGTTTTCCTATACTTGGTTTTTTTAATGTCCCACCCACATTCAAATTACTTTTAGATCCACATTCAGCCTGTAATTATTTCCATAGAGGTCATCATTAGAGTATGCTACTCTGAAAATAACTACTTTTAATTTATTGTTGTCTTTGACTATTTTGTCTAATAAGGGTACATATCGCTTCAAGAATGGGGCAAGGTATGTGGGTGACTATTACCAGAACATGAAACATGGACAGGGAACCTTCTACTATCCAGATGGCTCTAAATATGAAGGTATAACAAAGCTTCTCTGCGAGATTTGAGATTGTTGCCAACTTCTGCATTTCATTAATGTGTATATACAGGGTGTCCATTAAAATGTACAGTCCTGTGACCGTTCTTAGCCTTTTTTAGCTTACACAGGCCCAGCTGAAGTTGAGAGCCTCAAGAAGCCAGACTCTTATTGTTGCCTCTCTTTCTTTGTCAGGGTCGTGGGTTAAGGACTTGAGAGAGGGTCATGGTGTATACATTTACCCCAATGGTGACAAGTATGATGGAGAGTGGCTGCATCACGTGAGGTATATCTAAATAGTTTTCATTTCTGTAAGTACACATTACTCTGCTGGGCCAAGCATAAGTGCTGTATTCAGAGGCTTCTTTCTGCTAGATCTTTTTGCTCAATTCAGTAATACATGAAAAATGCATGAGAAGGTGAGATTCTTTTTAAGAATATGGTTTTACTTTTCATAATCCAGTTAGAGGGCCATAGCTTACCAGTAAGTGTGGATATATTGAAGCATATTTTTGATGTCTGAAAGTATTAAGTTACTACATTTCAATGTAAAGGACCTACTATTTTGAAATAAAGTCACTAAAATGCTATTAAAATATCTGTCATAACAAGATAAAGAAAATGTAACTTTAAAATCTACTTAAATCCTTGCTGCTGTCTGGTTGCCAGACACGGTCAGGGCATTTATCACTACCATGAAACAGGCTCAAAGTTCAAGGGCTCATGGGCGAATGGCAAGATGGAGTCAGCTGGAGAGTACATCCACTCTAACCACAGATACAAGGGTAACTTTGCCAACAGCTATGTAAGTTCTTTTTTTATGACTTATCTCATGAAAAGCTTGACTTTTGCCAGTGGTTACTAGAAATGTTGAGAATATTTTAGTTCAACCAAAAACTATGAAATGAAAATGGCCTGGACCCCACTTTGGAAAAGCATTTTAAAACTGCACAAATTTTTTTACAACAGTCAGATGTGAAAGGAGTCATTTATTGTGAATTCTCAGTTTGTCTGTTTACAGTTCCCCTCAACTCCATGGGATGTTTTAATATCTTTTTCATCCTTCACAGACTCCATTTTACTGTTTTGGTTCAGATCTCTGTGTGCTAACTCCCCTCACCAGATATAGACCATGTTATTGACTAGCTGGCAAACATAGTGAAGCATTTTAGCAGCAGTCATTTTGAAACAGATACTTTTCGCAGTTAATGGAGACCAAAACCTGAGGTAAATATTGAACTTACTTCATTGGGTGTCTCCAAATCAATGCTTAGGTTGGCTGATATCTGCTGGATGTGTAAACGGCCATTTAAGTTGCTAACATGCTAACATGCTAGCTGCAGAAGTTTTATAAGGCCATATCAGTTGAAACATTTTGGGATTTTTAGATAGTTTTGGCCACTTGGAGGCAGCAGAACACAACACATACAGTATATTAACATTTTAAAGTTTGTGGGTCAAACATAAATGCTAGGAGTTGCCTGTTTGCACATGCAGCAGACACAAGGCAACATTGGCATTTATTCAGATCCATGTTTGTCAGCTCCTAAGGGGAATATTTAGCTCTTTCACTGTTAAAGAGCTAGAAACAAAACAGCCGCTGCACAAACGCCAGACTTCATTGTCCTCAAAAGAATGTCCTACGTCCTTCAGGTGGAGGTGGACTGCTGACTCTGGCCTACTGGGGTTGGCCCTCCTGTGTTGGGCCATGCGTTTGTGCAGCGGCTGTTTTGTTTCCCCAATGTACAGGTCATTACACTCCTGACTACACTTAAATGCATACGCCACATCACTCTGTTTTTGTCTGGGTGTTTTGTCCTTTGGATGGACCGGTCTTTGCCGCAGGGTGTTCTCTGGCTTAAAGTTGACTGGGATATTGTGGTTGCAGAAAATCCTTTTCAGCTCCTCTGATAAACCAGCCACATTTCCAACTGCAGCAGACTGCTGTTGACTGAAAAAGCTCGGATAAACCAAGTGTACACTGCAATACAAGCACAAAACAGCAGACAGAAAAAGTTAGAGTGTAGCTGGTTAACTTAGCATTTAACAGTGAAAGAGCTAGATATTCCCCTTAAGAGTTGAGTGAAAACAAAACAGAACTAAAAGGTGACAAACATGGATCTGAATAAATGTCAATGTTGCCTTGTGTCTGCTGCATGTGCAAACATGGCCTCCAAGTGGCCAAAATTATCTAAAAATCCCAAAATGTTTCAACTGATATGGCCTTATAAAACTTCTGCAGCTAGCATGTTAGCATCTTAAATGGCCATTTACACATCTAGCAGATATCAGCCAACCTAAGCATCGATTTGGAGACACCCGATGAAGTAAGTTCAATATTTACTTACTTGACCTGGGTGACTGAGAATCTGCATGGACACAGTACTTATGGTAGCAGTCTCTTAAGTAATGCTGTCAGTATCAAATAGGCATATTTTTTTCTTCAGTGTTAGCATTATCTCTGCTATCCCGTTCTTATTTTGTAGCCGTGCTGCCTGGGGAAATACGTGTTTGACATTGGCTGTGAGCAGCATGGAGAATACCATCAAGTAGAGCAGGTAATTCAACATCAGCGCACTCCTGTTGTTTTAGCTAAGTGTGTGAAAAAAAAGTGTGTGATTTAATTTCCTCCAATACACTCAGTTTCATCTTTTGCTCCTTTTCCATCACCTGGTACTAGCTCAACTCGATTCGACTCTACTCGCTTTTGGCACCAGGTGCTTCCACTGCAGATGGTCCCCTTTCACTGTAGCTGGTTGTCATAGCGACACCACATTACACTGTCGTCAGCAACCGACACAATAACAATGGAGGATATTGAAGGCATGCTGCTCTTGATTCTCAGTATGTGGCTAGTTAGAATAACAACTACAGTAAAGTAGTGGTTAGGGTTGAATATCATTGCTTTTAAAAGTGGCACTTTCTTTGTTCCAGGATGTCTCACATGTTGATGACACAATTTCTCTGACCAATCACTAGTCTGCAGTGTTTACACATCACCGTTTGGTATCACCTCTGCTCGCTTGGAACCTCGATAGAGGTGATACCAAAACTAGTACCGGGTACCAGGTACTATCCCCAACATTTGACTGACGGAAACACAAATAAGGCAAGTCGAGTTGAGCTGGTACCAGGTGGTGGAAAAGGGGCTTATATTGTTAAAACACAACCTTGAACTTTGTCATACCAGTTGTGATATTATACAGAGACAATACTCTAAGACATAACATAATGACAACTCTCTTAACTAAACCTTCAGCCAGCGAACACTGAGGAGAATGCTAAAAATAGAAAAGCTAGGAAGTCACCCTACTCGCAGTCCAGGGAGGGTTACCCCACCTTAAGGGCCTCGGGAGGAGCAGAGGAGGTGCTGCCACTGTGTCTGTACACTACTTCTGATGCTATGCCTTTTACCAGAAGCATAGAATGCTCAGTCACATCAATGTTTTGCATGATGAATGTGTGGTATTTTCGAATATGAGAATGCCTTTTCATGCATTAGAATGCATTATTGTTGGCACTAGAAATATTGTTATTTTACAATATGTGTGTGATCCTTTTCTTCAGTGACTGTATAAAAACTTCATGGTGAAGTGTGTTTGAGATAAAAGCTGCAGTGTGTTTCATCTTTGGTGAGCCTGGAGTTTGCAGATGTTTTCATGCTTGCCTTGATTTAGCTGAAGTGAACATAGCAGCAATAGGACAAACACAAGATACTGAAAACATTACAAAAATTGTAATTTTAAGAGCATGAAAAAGTGAAAGCATTCTGAAATAAATGTAAGTGATTTTGGTTGCATTGCAAGTTGAAATGTGTCCCAGTAATATACTGTATTTTGAAGCAGTTCTCAGTACATAAAAATGTCTGAAGGTTTTTCCATCTCTTGACAGGACCATACTGAGAGTGAGTGGGGTGAGAATGCCTCTACCACAGTCCTCAAGTGGATCCCAAAGTGTGTTACTGGCCTGACGCTGTGGACCCCAGGCAAAGAGACTTCAGGTGAAATTCACCAATCCAAACTGGCAGCAAGGGGCATGGCCATAGCCAAGATTTTACACAACAGAATGCCATCCATCAAAGGCATTTTTGTTAAGCCGCCGAACTCTTTAAAATTTATTTAAAAAAATACAAACAATTTGTGTTTATTCTTTTAACCATTAGCTTACATTTTCTGTAGATTAAATATAACATATGTCCCTATATTAGGGTCTAAATGTTGTTTCAGAAGGCAGTATGGTGACACAGTGGTTAGCACTGCTG